CTCCCTCGCTGGTTCGCTATGGCCGCTGTCTTCTTCACAGCCCACTTCTTCTCCGGGCACCTGCAGTCCTCCACGCACAAGATACCAAGGCAGCTATTCCGCATGGCACGCAGGCAAATGAATGGCTGGCTGGACGCTGCCTCTTTATTTATACTTCTTCGGAGGTACCCGGGCCTGCCTCAAAACGTGTGGGCCTGGGCCAAAACGTGTGGCCCAGGGAAGCTTCCAGACGTTTGGCCTTCTGGCCAAAACGTGTGGAACCCACAGCGTGGGCCTACAGACTTACAGACAGACTCTAGGCCTCAGTAGACTCAGATAGAGACTTCTAGAACAGACCTTCCTAAGCCTGACGGTAACAGACCTAACTCCTAATCTACAGACCTAGGGATCGAGTCTCACACAGATCGCTGGGCCTATGTACAGGCCCTACAGGGTACAGGGTAGGTCTAGGGATCGAATCTCACTCAGCACACAGGGTCAATGTACAAGGTACAAGGTAGGTCTAGGGATCGAATCTCACTCAGCACACAGGGTCAATGTACAGGGTTTCGGCACAGGTCTAGGGATCGAATCTCTGTGTCTGCAAATGTCGGGTCTACTGGGTGAAACCATTTCATGTGTAACGAATAACAGCCAGGCTGACTACCGTCTTCACCCGAATAGAACGCCCGGTCATTATCGCTCTATCTAGACTGAAAGTTGCCCCATATACGGCTATAATGACCGGGCGTTCTATTCGGGTGAAGACGGTAGGTCAAAAAAAAGTCGCTTGTCATATCAACAATGATAAAAAAATCCACTAGTAGGTTGCCTAAGCTTCCCATGGCCGTTCCATAAGTGCATCAGTGCATCACCGCATCAGTGCATCAGTGCGTAGCCATAATAGCCATCTGCTTTCTTGAGACAGACTTCCATGTTCGATGTGCAGGCTTTGGGGAACAGATATCCATTAATGCAGATCTCTGTGCAGCTACAGAGTGTCTTGGCAGCATGCCAGCTGGCAAAGATGATAATCACCTTTCTACTTCCAAGTGACCTAGCAAGGGATGACGAGGGTTGATGAGGGTTGATGGCTGCTCCAAATACATAATGCTAGTAGTGACAACTGCCTCAGGAGAAATGGGTAACAGGCTGACTCTATGGCATTGCAGTGATCGCACACATAGACTTTAACTGTGCCATACCGGCAGGATCAGACACCCCTTGGTCTTACTGAATAGAAGGCATTGAATTAATGTAACTCCAGACCATGTGATCACCTGTCTGTTTGACAGAGATGGATGAGAACCTGACACGTTCAGTACAGCCCCAAACGAAAACGCAGCCCAGCTGCAAACACTCGTGCGTGCAGGCAGTTTGCCCTACAGTTGTCCCTCTATTGGAGCCAACCTCTCTCTCTCTCTCTCTCTCTCTCTCTCTCTCTCTCTCTCTCTCTCTCTCTCTCTCTC